CCATTTCTCCTTACTTTTTTGAAACTGATGTGTGGTTTAAAGCTTTTTGTGGTAACAAATTTCATTTGGGTCTCAATGGTGATCCTTTCTTTCCTTTTCTGAAGCAAAGTAAAAATCTTTGATTGCAAATTTGCATTTTTTTTTCAATATTGACAAAAACTCTTCCTTTCCAACTATTTCTTCAAGTTCTCCATCTGGGGTATCCTTAGAGTATCTGGGCATTGGCAAAAACTCTTCCTTTTCAACTATTTCTTCAAGTTTTCCATCTGGGGTATCCTTTGAGTGATGCAAACTGAAGGCCTGTTAACAAATGGCAAGTCTTGTACCTGGAGTGTTACTCAAGCTTTTGCAGCACATGAATACAGATGTCAAGGTTGCTGGGGAACACAGGTCATCTTTATTGCAAGTTGTGAGCATTGTACCAGCATTAGCAGGTGGTGAGTTATTCTCTAATCAAGGGTTTTATCTCAAGGTATCAGATTCATCTCATGCCACTTATGTGTCTTTACCTGACGAGCATGATGATTTAATTCTTAGTGATAAAATCCAGTTAGGCCAATTTATTCATGTTGAAAGGCTTCAACCAGCCTCACCAGTGCCTATTCTTAGAGGGGTCAGGCCAGTACCTGGGAGGCACCCTTGTGTAGGGAGCCCTGAAGATATTGTAGCAACACAGTCTCCTGGTTTTCTCAATAATAATCACGTGGGGAAAGCCAAATCAACTAGAAGGGGTGTTTTGAGCAATACGAATGTTGGAGAAAAGGATAAATCAGTGGGGGTTAGACTGAATGGTAATTCTAATAAGGATGCGTTGTCAGATAAGAAGACGACTCTGACTAGATCAAAGTCTCAATTGTCAAAACTTACAATAAATCTGGATTCGAAGAAGGAATCTGTGGCAAAATTTAAGTCAGCGAGTTCAAGATCAATTCCTTCTTCCCCGACTAGTTGTTATTCATTGCCTACTTCATTTGAGAAGTTTTCAAATGGGGTTCGGCTGCAGGCAAAGGTTAAGGGACCGGACAAGGGATCACCTAGGATTGTAGAAAAGGCAAGTTCTGTTCGTGGGGCCAGTCCCACTGCAAGGAGGGTGCCGGTGATCAAGAATGTTGTTCAGGGGATTGAGCTGGGGGCAAAAGCCTTGAGGAAAAGTTGGGAGGGGAATGTGGAGGTGAAGCACAGTGAGAATTCGAAATTGAGAGCTGCGAGACATGATTCAAAGCCTGAAGCTAGGAGTATTTCTGTAAGTATTATTATACATGGATTTTGTCTTTAAGCAGACTGTGATTTGGTTGAGATGTACTTGAAAAAATGTCCTGTTTCAGTTTAGATGTAAAATGTTGTCATAAATTTGGAGTAACAGGCAGGCCAAGTCTGCTTTCGTTCTTTTCTTGATCATGGGTTTTCAATGTTCCTAAATATTCAGTACTTGAGCCTTTTGACTGATTTCGTTCAATCTTCCTAAATATTCAGTACTTGAGCCTTTTTTTCAAACTTAAATCCTTTTTGATTGGTAAACTGTTGAATTGATTTATCTCACTCTTATTAGCGTCCTGATTTTGTGTGACCCAAAAGGTCCTGAATCTATGGGACTCTAAGGAGATTTTGGAAATGTTGTGCTGTTTACTGCAATTCTCCAATTCACTGTCACTGGTTTCCCAACTCATCCTTGTTGAATTATCATGCTCGCCATCTAAGCTAATTGTACATGGCAGACTCCAAGAAAAAGTACATCAAGTGAGAGATTGCCGTCTAAAGAGGATTATAGGCCCCAAGTATCTGCCAAGTCGTCTAAAGAGGAGAATAAAATTCAGATATCTACCAAGAAAAATGTTGCAAATGGAAGGTTGGATGAACAAGACAAGTCAAATAAGCTAAGAACAAGTGTTGAAAAGAAATCATCAGAACATGCTAACAATGGGTTACCAGGAAATCTGGTCAAGGTCTCGATAAATAGCAGAAGACTGACTGAAGGAAGTGTTTCATGGAGTTCACTACCCTCTTCTCTTGCCAAACTTGGAAAGGTAAAACTTAAATTTCGACAAGTTCATGTGCTTTCTTTCTGTTTTCCGAGAGAAAAAAAAGATAGTGGTATATATGATTGAGTTTCTGGACTTTATTAACGTTACCTGTTTGTTGAGTGCTGAATCACTGTGCTGCTTAAGAGCATTCTGTTGAGCTATTTTATAATATCATGCATGGCCCGAGCATAACATAGCAGCCACACCTCCTTTGAGAAGGAGGTTGAAAGTCCAAATGTGTCGATCCCAAATAATCCCATCATCAAAAGAATTCAAAACAGGAAGTGCGATGTACTTTTTAGCCAGCATTTCTTCATGAAGTAGTTTTGAATTAATGATAACAGAATACATGGTCTGAACCTTGGAGGCAGGGGCCTCAGGCCACTTAAACCTTAATTCTTCTGCTTTCAGCTGTTTGCTCATAGCAGCATAGTCATCTGTAACTTACAGACTGTAAGTAACTATCAATGTATAATACAATGCCACATCATACATTCTGTAGTTAGTGATTTGCTCATTGGAAATGCAAGTTTTCCACATAAACTAGGGACACTGCTGATACGTTAATTATTTTAGTGGTTAAGAGCCAATTCTTTTGATTCTACAGTTATTATCTGTAACATTTAGTTCAATTGGTTTCTGGTCTTCTAGAAGATTTATTAAATTTAATTACTCTGATATTTTCAATTTTCACATATCTCTACACCTTTTTTATAGCAGGAAGTTGTGAAGCATAGAGATGCTGCACAGATGGCAGCAATAGAGGCTATTCAAGAGGCAACTGCTGCAGAGAGCATACTTCGATGTCTAAGGTATAACTACTCAAAGAAATAGTGGCAAGAAGGGTAGAAGTATTAGATCACTAGGCTGTAACAAGCAATCAAGTTGTATAGCTTGGTTTAGGATGAATGATGCAGTCGTCTTGGTAAATGAAGACAGCTTCATTTGATCTATAAGGCATCAATTGCAAGAAAAATGAACTCATGAATTGGTCAAAAGACTCCCGGGCCATTATGAAACTTCATAGCAAATGCTGTTGAAGGTTCTATGGATCAAAGAGTAGTTATATGCAGACAGCGTGGTTAATTATAAAAGGAAGAAGAAAATGTCAAAACTTTCTAGTTGAACTTCTGATTTCTTTGTAGCTTGGACTACATGCAGGCCATATTTGAGAAATGTTGGACAAACCGAGATCAACTTGAGTTCTACTTGCATGATTAAAATATTGAGAATATGAGAAAATTAATTTTCAGGGGATTCTTTGATTTACATCTCGGATGTGTAATCTATATTCAGTTTTTTTCTAGTGTATGAACATTTCAGTTTTAATTTTTTTTTCCTGACATTTTGTATTGTGCCTCTTTTCTCTTGCAGTATGTACGCTGAGCTGACCTGCTCTGCTAAGGAAGATAACCCAAAACCTGCTGTGGAGCAGTTTTTAACTCTTCATGCAAACTTGAATAATTCTCACTTGATTGCCGATTCCCTTTTTAAAATTACTCTAATTGGTTCATCCCCAGATTCCAATGACTATCCATCTGAAGAAGCACTAAAGGTCACGTCTGATAGATGTAAACATGCAGCCTCTTGGGTCCAAGCTGCACTGACCACCAATCTGTCGTCCTTTTCAGTGTTTACCAAAGATTCTATAACTTCTACTCTTGGTACAAAGCCTACTGCCAGCAATCAATCCATTTTAGTCCTTGAAAATTCTTCGAAGAATACCTCAACAAAAACTCAAGGGAAAGCCCGTCCAATGGTTGGTTCCAAGCTTGTAGCAACAGGAGCTTTTCGCAAACCAGGGGATAATTCTGCCATTACTCAAAAGGTGCCACCCCAACCTCCACCAGAGTGGATCAAAGGAAATGGCCTTGACGAGGCAGTGGACTTGGCAGAGATGTTGCGGATGGAATCCCAGGATTGGTTCTTGGGATTTGTTGAGAGGTTCTTGGATGCCGATGTGGATACCTTGGCTTTGTCAGATAATGGCCAAATAGCAGGGATGTTGACCCAGCTTAAAAGTGTGAATGACTGGTTAGATGAGATTGGATTGAACAAGGATGAAGCAGAAGCACCCCATGTTTCATCAGAGACCGTTGACAGGTTAAGAAAGAAGATTTACGAGTATCTTCTTACACACGTTGAATCAGCTGCTGCAGCACTAGGTGGTGGATCACAATCATCACTGGCGATCCGAACTGTAGACACTAAAACAAAGAGGTGATACTATTAGTTTTTGTAGCTTGGCCACATGCAGTGTTGGTGATGCATATAATAGTAACATACCGTTGGAGCTGTGCCCCTTAGCAACCAAACCAAGTGGGCTTAGGAGCTCAGTGTTCTAATCAATGTACATAAATCCTACATGGGTTTGAGGTATAGATCACTATTAATTATCAAAGAAAGCATTTGTTGTAAGTGCAGGGTTTTTTTATCCTCACAGGAATTTGTTTATCTTTTTCCCTGAAAGCTACACAAAATAAACAGTTCCATAAGCTGGAAAAGCAATATTTTATCTCCTTTTGGAAATGCTTATGCAAGTTTCTATCAGAATATGTCCCTTTCAGATGTTCTCGTATTTGCGTTCTGTGGATATGAATTGGATCAAGAAATTGAACACTTGACAATGCGAATTTGAAACTTAATAGGTGCTAGTTTTGTAAACTGGCAAGCTTCTCAACCTCCAAGGATAGATAGCATAAAGAGATATCATGGTACTGTTGATCAATTTCTGCCAATCAACAACAAATGCTGGTGCTGAGTCTGTCATCAACATGTTATCCAAATCCTGTTTTAATGTCATGGTCTTGAAAACAAAATGGAGGAATGTTTTGAAGAATAATGGCCGCTGGACTTCTCCAATTCCAATGTCATTCTAAGTGGTATGTTTCACCATAATTGGCATCAGAAAACACCTGAAGCCAACTAACTGAAATAATAATTTCACATAAAACATAGATTTGAAGTCCTGCAAACAACAAACTGAACCTTCCTTCTGTCAATCTTAGTCCCATATCCTGATCTTCCTGCCAAGCTCAATTCACCAAACGTCTTTCCACTAGTGACTTGCATAGTCTTGGATGCTTGTTGGCATGTTCTTCAGTCTTTAGCTACGGAGGAACTCAAACTTCCTACTGTCTGCTTTTGGACTACTAGCCTATATAGTTTCTTAGCCTATTCACATTATAAAACATCTTATAGAAGAAGAAGGCATCACGCCTTTTAAATATCCTAAACTTACTCCAAACTTCATACAGGATATGTATCAATAAGTCAAGTCTAACAAAAGTCTAGACACATGCATAAAAACAAGTATAATTTTTAATACAACTGGTGGATTATGGTAAGATTTGACCAGCACGTTCTACAAACCTACTTCTATAATGGATCAAATTAGTTGCAACCTGTTTAAGTTGAGATCATATCCAAAATAGAGGTGATGTTTTTGAATTTTCAATATTTTTCTAGTTGTTTTAGGATTCATTTTTCTTTGTAGTTTAAGTTGGTTTAACTAATATTTAAAAAGTCTTACGTGCTATTCTTATAATATAATTTATGAATTATCATATTTTAAAATATATCATAATTATCTCTAATCTTAGAGTTTGAGTAAACAAAGCTAGTAGTATACCAGCATTATTTTGTCGTAGCCTACCTTTGAGAAATACATTAAATTTACAGGTTTGCAATTTCTAAGATAAGAGTTATTTAACAAATGGATACTTAGGCTCCATTTATCTTTGCTTATGCTTTTTACAATGCTTTTCAACCACATTAAATTTACAGGTTTGCAATTTCTAAGCTTATGCTTTTTACAATGCTTTTCAACCCAAAAAACAGAAGCAGCAAATCATACAAACTGGCTTTTGGAGACCACAATAGAGTGGATTCCAAGGATGATAGATTTCGTCTAGAGGACTTCCCCAGCTTCATTCTCACAACAGAACAAGATGAGGTTATGGTAAATTAAGTAATCAGAGCAGCAGAGAAAGCTTCGAAAGTTTCAGATATTATTCTAAATACTTTTGATGACTTGAAGCATGATGTTTTAGTTGCTCTCTTATCCATTTGTTAAGTAACTTTGCGGATTTCAATAGAACAGGTCGCTGCTATGCCACAGGGAAATAATTGGACACATGCTGCCTAGAATGGAAGAGCATGTTGAGATGCTTCAGAGACATCAAAGAAGACCATTTTTTTAAGCAGGAGTACATCTCACGAGCTGCCATAATAGCTCGAGCATGGTGAACATGTGCTAGTGTGTGAAAGGACGGGTTGCCAGGAGGTGGGAAAAAAAATCAATTACCGACAATGCCACTGCCACTGCCACTGCCAAATAATTTGACATGTGTTATCTAGAATGCAAAAACATACCGAAATGCTTCTGAAAACACAAATAATTTGACATTTGTTAACAGAGCACGAGGAATGAAACTAGTTGATCTCTACCAAGTTAAATGGTGAGCATTTAAGATTTTCTTATTCTAGATTTGTTTTTATTCATTCCAAGTTAACTTTGTTGGTCGTGAGATTACTCCTAATGTTTGCAAAATAAGCTCTCATGAACCTCATTGACACCTTGTAATTCATACCATTAACAGAGCACGAGGAATGAAACTCGTTGATCTCTACAAAATGATGAAATAATGCTAAATGATTCAAAATTGCCATTTGTTTGAGTGAGAGAAAGTTGTTCGATGATGCCTCTTGTCATGTCTCATAACGATGCCTGGACAATTACAAAGAATTTCATGAATCTTGTAGTCAAGATACACTCCAACTGTTGAAGTGGCATCAATCACTAGATTTCAATTTCAAAACCTTCTCTTTTTTCAAAGGAAGAGAAGAAATCGACCTAAATTTGAGAAAAGGAGATGTTTTGAAAAGAGAACAGATGAAAAGAGAGGGAACAAGGAAGAAGACAGTTGCAAGGTGGGAAGAAACGAGACAAAAGGAAAAAAATAATTTTTTTATTAAAATTTAAATTTACCATTAATGCGATATGTAAAATATAATTTTTTTAAATAAATTAAATGTTATCACACTAAAATATTTGGAAATTCATTATAATTTTTTTATAAAAAAATATAAATAATATTTAAGAGTGTGATAATAGTTATTTTTTTAAATGTTTTTTGTTTCAAAAAATATTAAAATAATATATTTTTTATTTTTTAAATTTTTTTTTAATCCCAATACATTAAAATAATCTAAAAATATTTAATTTTAACAAAAAAAATATGTATATGGTAACTTCCTTCCTTAATCTAAATTAAATATAAATAAAATATGTATATTGTAACTTCCTTCCTTAATCTAAATTAAATTTTGACTTTAAATAAATTCATAGACAAAAAAAAAGCCCCAAATATTGAAAAACTTTTGATTTGTAGAGGGGTTATTAATGTAAAACCACTGCTCACACTAGATTCTCTCGCCCTCCTATACCAATCACTAGATCTCTGGCAGCCAACTGGTGTCCCAGAAATGGAGAACAAGCCAAAGCTACATGTCGTTCAAACCTTAAAGCAACTATTTTTGCTTTTCGCTGTCCACTCTCTCTTCCTCTTCCCTTTCACTCTCTCAGAAATCTTCTTTGAGGAACGTTTTGAAGATGGTTGGAAAGGTAGATGGGTTTTATCAGACTGGAAAAGAAGTGAAGGCAAAGCTGGTACTTTTAAGTACACCGCGGGGAAGTGGCCCGGTGATCCAGATGATAAAGGTACAATAACATGTTAAAGATTTGATCTTTTTGTGATTATGTTATCTGGGGTTTGAATTTGTTTCGTTTGATTTGTGTGGAAATATGGTGTTTCAGGTATTCAAACATATAATGATGCAAAACATTTTGCTATATCAGCAAAGATAACCCCAGAGTTTAGTAACAAGAATAGGACTTTAGTGGTTCAGTATTCTATTAAGTTTGAGCAAGATATTGAGTGTGGTGGTGGGTATATTAAGCTGTTTTCTGGTTATGTTAATCAGAAGAAATTTGGTGGTGATACTCCTTATAGGTAAAGAAAATGACCCATTTGATTCTTTTGATGTTTGAGAAATGGGAAGTGGTCAAGTTTAAAGCTTGCTGTGTTTTTTGTCTTTGCAGTTTTATGTTTGGACCTGATATATGCGGTACACAAACAAAGAAGCTTCATGTTATATTGTCTTATCAAGGACAGAATTATCCTATCAAGAAGGATTTGCAATGTGAAACTGATAAGTTGACTCATTTCTATACATTTATACTTAGGCCTGATGCTTCTTATAGCGTGTTGGTTGATAATAGAGAGAGGGAATCAGGAACCATGTATACGGATTGGGATATTCTTCCACCACCAAAAATTAAAGATACTAAAGCAAAGAAGGTACGGTAGGAACTTGGGGTTGGATTTTGGTTCCATTTTTTGCAGGAAAATGTGGTGATTTTCATTGTTGATAGTTTGGTGTTTTTAGTCTAGCCCGAAAAGGTTGACTTTCATTGTTTCGCAGCCAGCAGACTGGGATGATAGAGAATTTATCGAGGATCCTAATGATTTCAAACCAGAGGTATTGCCTGGTAGTCTACTTAATAATGTGGTTGAAATAGTGAATTATATATGTTCCTGGTACATTTTGTACTTTAACTATTTGCTTTGATGTTGCAGGGATATGATTCTATTCCCCGGGAGATTCCTGATCCTAAGGCTAAAGAGGTTTGTTCATTGCCTTTAGCATTTTAGAATCTCTTCTGTAATTTTCTCGTTCTCACCATGTTGGTGTTTGAAACATGTGATTAGACTATTCATGGATTAACTTGCCTTTATACAATGACAATGCTCTAGGAAAATGTCTTTCTTTTTGGCCCTTACTTATTCAACTTGATTGTTGGATAATTAGGTTATAAATAAGAAGAGATATGTAGGATTGTCATTTATTTAACTGTCACGGCCTAGAAGACAAAATATAACATGCCTTATTCTATTGCTGCTTTGAATAGCCCGATGATTGGGATGAAGAGGAGGATGGAATATGGAGGCCATCCAAGATACCAAATCCAGCGTACAAAGGACCATGGAAAAGAAAGGTGTGCATCCATGCTACTGACCAAAAGTTTGAACAAAATATCTTAGCTGATTAATAATGATTATTGAATTAAGTTGTTATCCTGATATTGTAGAAAATCAAGAACCCTAACTATAAGGGAAAATGGAAGACTCCATGGATCGATAACCCAGGTATGAATCATTCCATTGAGACCAAATGGTTATTTTTATCATTCATTTGGGGAAGAATGCTTTGGAACATTTTGGCAGATACAAATGCTCAGAAATAGGAAAATGAGCATTTTGGCCTTAATACCAGCATTTAACCAAATAATGGAGTAGGCAGTATGTTCCAAGTGGTGAACTTTGCTACTGGGTTTTAGACAAGTCTTTTATGTGTAAAAAAAATGGAAACTTCATATAGGATACTAACAGAGCATAGTAAATGAGTTAGCTTCTATGTTGTAGCAGGAACGTTTGCTGATATTAAAGACAACTGGTCCTCCAACAAGTTTGTATCAGTTGTCTCTCTAACTATGTGGCTGATCTAATATATGTGCCTGATTTTAGTATCCAGTTTCATTTTGTAAATGCTTACAATCCTCTTTTCCTTTCTTTTTGTCAGAGTTTGAAGATGATCCTGACCTTTATGTGCTGAAGCCAGTAAAATATGTGGGTATCGAAGTTTGGCAGGTAGGTCTCATAACTTCTTTACCTCTACTGGAGATCATTCATACAACCTATTGTTTGGGGAAAAAATAGCACATTAATGATACCAGGAAAAAGTAAAATATAGTTCTTTGTAATAACAAATGATTGTATTATCTGATCTGACAAACACATTTTCCTCTCATATTTTACTTGGCTTTGTTTGTCTGAAATGAAGATAGTAGATTTTATTATATTAGTATCAGTAAACTAGTTTGTTTGAGTATTGACCAGCCTTTCATTCTGGATTGAAAACCATTTATT